CCCTACACGGAGGACCCGGGAAGGCTTTATGGAGGAAGGGAGATTTTAGGTCAGGGATGGAAGGATGGATGGGGCGCTTCAGTGGTAGGAAGTGGAGTTGGGAGGAGAGGTAAGAGCTGGAGATATCCCTGGGGAGGGGGAGTGCGGGCAGGAAGAGGCACCAGAGCAGAGTACTGACTGGGAAGGATCTGTTGGAGCCACCCAGGGGAAGTGCCACACTGAGGACTGCGGGCTTAATTTTGGATGTCACGGAAGGTTCTGAAGCAAGAGAATCAGTTCAGCGGCTGTGCATGCCAGGAGGGACATGACGGTGGCTCACAGACCTCAGAATGGGTGCCAGGGAGGGAGCACAGCCAGGAGTCTCAGGGATCACCAGGTAAGAGGAGATGGGGGTCTAGGTGAGGCCAGGGGTGGTGAGGATGCAGAGGAAGAGATGAGTGCAAGGGATGCTTCAGAGAGAAACTCAGAGGGACGTGGAGGGGGGAAAAGGCGATGCACTCATACGCTAGGAGTGGTTGATCACAAAACCGATAAAGGAAAAAAGGCTAGGAAGAAATATACCAAATTACTAATGACGGTTAAATCTTCAGGGAGAAATATGGGTAATTTTTATTCTCTCTGTGCTCTTTCTTTCTTTTTAGTCCAGGATGTGGAAAGAGAGGGCTTAAAGGACTGGTGAACCCTTTACCCTAGAGAGGAAATGGTGGTGGGGGAGCCTCACAGCATGTTGGGGTGGGAAACAAGAGGGAGTTTGGCTTAGGAGACTGTTTAGTGAATGGAGCTTCAGACACCTACATCGACAGACTACATCTGGGAGGAGACTCAAGGATCTGGTAAACATGGTTGTCCTGGGTGGAGACGTTAAGTGGCTGAAGGATGGCGCTGGAGGAGGACCACTTCTCCCTGTAAATGTTTTGTATCTTTTGGATCAGGCACTGTGCAAACCTATTACCTATTCCAAAAATTCCACCTGAAGAAAAGAAAAATATACGGCAGAGGAAAATGTTGTTCAAGTTGTGAAAGGATTTACTCTGTCATTTCCTCTGGTGGGGCATCTGAAATGATGTTCAGTCCACAAAAATCCCACTCTTAGACATGCTTTCTATAACAGTTATTACACATTCATTCATTCCAGCAACACATGTAGCAAGCTACTGTGTATCCAGAAGATGTCTATACATTATTACATACAATCCTCATTGTGATGTACTCGTAAGGAAGGCGTAATTAACATACAAGACAATAATACAAAGACACACAGAGGCAAAGTTACTTGCCAAAAGTCACACAACTGATGAGTAGGAGAGTTATGACTCAGGGCTACACTGTCCAGCTCCAAATTTGGGCTCTCCAGTATGTAAACTGCTTTCCCTGCAAACAACTCAAGAGAGAACCTTGAGGAAAGAAGACTGTCCTTTAAGCATCAAGGTGTCAAGTGCTGTGTCAAGCACTTAGCTTTGCATACATCACCTCATTCCAAACTCTCAGTCCTGGTGGGAGGGAGGTATCACGATGTCAACTTTACAGACGAAGCAACCAATGTTCAGAAAAGAAGGTGATTTATGAACAAGGAGTGAAGTCAGACTTGGTACCCAAGGGTGTCCGACGGCCAAGCTCAAATTTTTAACCATTATGACACTGTTTCTCAGTTTAATGCTCTGTAAAATGGAAAAGATGAATACTTGGCCTCCTGCTTCCTGGAGACAGTGTGTTGTAATGAATGGGAGAGGACAAGGGACTACAATACCTGATAACTGTCCCCAAATGTGTCTTCAGCCACTATCTGTCCCTGTCCCTTGGTGCTCATCTCCCCAATCCCCAACAACTAAAAGCTGGACCCGGAGAGGGCAGGAGACTCCAGATTCTACCGGATGCAATTCTCCATTTAAAGGCTCTCCTTTGAAATGGAGTTGGCAGACGCCCCGTGGAGATTCTGGAAGCAGTGGAAGAGCAGAGGTCTTAGAGACCAGTAGGCTTTTAAAATTTCCATTAAAATATTTTACTGTTACAGAAAAAGGAAGCAAGGAAGGAAGGAAGGGAGGGAGGGAGGGACTTTTGTTCATCTACACATAATTTTTGGCCAAGGGGAAAAATGAAGGCATGTGATGAAATAGCTGCCTTAAGTACAGGAAGCATCTGTCATACTTCCTGCTGTGTTTGGGCGGCAGAGGAAAAGGCAGGGATCTGCCTGTCAGGAGTCTACTCCATGCCCTTTACTGCTACTGCAGTACTTTTAAACATTCCAGCTAAACCCTCCCTTCCTTCCTTCCTGTCCTCCTCTTTCTCATCTTCCTTCCTTTCCCAAACAAATGGCCTATTATGGTGAACGTGGAAGACAGAATTCAAACAGGAGTCTTCCCCTACTGGGACAGTCTAGCTGTGGCAGGGGGTGAGGGGGAGTGGGGGGATGGCAAAGTCACCAGGCAATTCGAATATAATAAGAAAAGCTAAGCCCTCCATAGCACTGTCCCTCTGCCAGGCATGGTTGTAAACCCTTTACTTGCATTGCCTTGTTTAATCCTTACAGTAACCCTAAGAAGCAGGTTAATACTTTCCTTCCCCTTTTAACGGATGAGGAAATGAAGGCACAAGGAAAGTCAGTAACCTGCCCGGGGTCACACAGCTCATAAGCTATAAACCCACAGTTCAAATCCAGACAGTGGCTGCACTCTATTCCCTTAGTCCCGAGGATGATGTACAATAAAATATGAGCAAAGACTTCATTTAATGCCCACAGCCATCCTTGTAAGGAAGGCATTGTGAACCTTGTTTCGCAGATGGATAAGCTGTGCCTCAGAGAGAGGTGATGAGAGGTGCTGAGTGAGGGAGCTGGGATTGAAATCAGGTCTGCCTGCAAAGCCTGCCTCATGGCTATGATAACCAGGGCAAGTATGTGTGTGTACGTGTGCACGTGTGTGTGTGCGTGAGAGCAGAGGCAGAGCGGTAGCAAAAGCTTGATGAACTTGACCTCTGAGGATTAGCAAGTCCGTCACTTGCCCCCAGCACCAGGGCACATTTTCCACTTTTCACTGCTCCTCCCTGGAACCTCAGCAATTGTACTATAGATAGGAACTCTCATCACACTAAGCTAGATCCTAGTGATGCCTCCAGCATTCCACATGTTCCCATACCCCAAGACCAAGCCCCTGGCTTCTCCAGGTCCCCCCTCCATTCCCACAACTCTGGCCCTCACGTCCCTCCTGTAAGTACCAAGGTACCATGTTCAGAGTTGAAACTGAGGCTCAGAGAGGCTGCCTCCACATCAACCCCAAAATATAATGCAAGCCACAGATGCAATTTTAAATGTTACTAGCCACATTAAAAAGGTAAAAAATAAACAGATAAAATTAATTTTCAGAATTTATTGGATTCAACCAATATATTCAAAATATTCTCATCTAACTTGTAATTAACATAAAATTATTATTACTGAAATATTTAATATATTTTTCACAAGTTTTCAAAATCCGGTGTATATTTTATGCTCACCGCACATCTCAGCACAGACTAGCCACATTTCAATTGCCTATCATATCAGAGAGCACAGTTCTGAAGGCACTTATATGACACATTTCCTGAGTAAAATTAAGGACCAGAATCTGGAGAGATGAATGAGCCATGGGTCCCACTAAGGCGCTGAATTTTTTAAATGTGATTTGGATGAAAAATGGTGTAGTTCAGATTCCATGAAAAGACAATAGCATTGTCTCTGCCCTCAGGCACTTAAAGGCTAGTAGGTTTTTAGATTGGTTTAATCCATGAGTCATGAAAGGTCATGCACTTCTGTACAAGAAATTAGGGTACTGGACTGAGATATGCGTTCTAACCGTGGTCCCACTTATTAGGTGTGTGCACTTGGGCAAGGCCCCCAAACTGTCTGAATTCGTCTTTAAAAAGAGGGCAGTAACTCAGCTCACATGGTCACTATGAGGAAAACGATGCGGTGTATGTAAACGGCACAAAGATCAGAGAAGTGAGAGTGACGGCACACTCTTCGTTCATTCAGTGCTTGCCTGAGTTTAGGAGAAGAAATGGAAATGCCACTGAGTGGGAGTGGCGACTCCCTGCCTTCTGTGACATTGTAGGGAGGTGACAGCCACCCAAGGCGAGCAGCCTCTGAGTGTCCATAGAATCTGCAGGGGCCACAGGCCAATTCCAGACTGACTTGGAGATGATTCAGACAAATGGAAAAGGGCCCCTTCTGCTAGCATTTTAATATGAAACTGGTGATACAGTGAACTAAAGT